GCCACTTGACCGACATTCGCTCAAACGCACGTTCTCCGCCCGACAGCCGCGCTCACCCCACCCCTCCCCCCAGATAATTGAGCAGGCCCTCCACCCTCGCTGGGCCTGCAGCGAAAAAACACGCAACTCTTGGGCTCCACTTGAACTTGCCCCACACTATCCACATAATGGGGCTGTCACCGCTTCCGCTGGGATTCTCGGGCGCGACTACTCGATGCGGTTAACAAAGCCCCCTTCCCCCCACGCACTACCCACATAAGGGGCCTGTCACCCAGTGTCGTGCAGCACGGCTTGCGGTCACGGTTACCGCGTTCTGCAGATTTAGGTCTGCTCTGTTCATAACAGAATGAACGCTACAATTGTTTCACCACTGCATTGTGGATATGTATGCAAAATCGAAACAGAATGTCAGCTTTTCATTCGCTCGAATCAGACCAAACTGCGCTCAGAAGAATATATTCATTTGCATGATGCAGTTCTAAACGATGGTAATAGAGATAACGTTGTAAGACTAACAATTTTGTCATCCACATATACAGACAGTTCACGTCATCGGTTCGAGTACGCTCGAGGTGCAATTGCTTACGTTCGTGGGACAATAAAGCGTTCCAGAGGTCGTATGCTACTGCTGATGCCGCTGTGCTGCCTGAGTGTATGTGAACGTGTCTCGCTGGATTGACGACGTCCGTCCTGTGGCCAACGATTTTGCAGACTGTCGTTGCGACCCTCATTTTGCTGCGATGACGATGCGTCCAAGTGTAAGGACGACCAGGGCTGTCAGAGTGAACGCTTTGGAAGTAAGGGTGGCGATGTGCTAAAGAGGCCTGTTGTCTCTTTGGGTGTTTAAACAGCGCTTCTTGGACTCCAAAGCACGCAATCAATATGCGGACAGCCAATTTGCCGTCATCATCAGGGGCACACTTTTTAATTTATCTCCATTCCTGGGGTAAACAACGATTGCCAGAATAGGGCTGGTAAGATACGCCAGACGGTAGCCGAGTTGCACTATGGGTGACAACTTCGACTCAACGAGATTATTGGCTCCGGCACTTTGTGTACCTCTCTCTCTCTCTCTCTCTGACTCTAGTGACTGGCTTTCACAGCGAATTGGCCTGCAAGTGGGAGAGCTGGATGTCGTTTCCACACGGCTTTAACATTTTATTTCGAAGATGGCGATGATGAGCAGAGTAGCGTCCACATTACGTATCCAGTTTGTACATCCTAAGAATTGGGTAGGCTAGTTGGATAAGCATGATGTCGAATAAAACACTCCATGCGGTGTCGGGGCAGAAAGGAGACCACTTAGCGATGCTGTCATGCATAGCTTGGATATCAGGCAGAGCTTTGCTTTGGCAGGAGGTCTAACATTTGGTGCATGTGCGCTAATGAGTAGCAGAGCGTTCTTCGACACCATGCATTCGAAGGACTCGCGCATCAAACAGCATATTGCATTCTTTCTTCAGTTTTTGCCAGAACACTCATCTCTTGCTCTGTGACAGTGGAAAAGACCCCGGACCAAGTATCCCCAGAACTGCGACATAAGGTTAGTCGGAGAACATTTGCTTTGGCAAGACAGTTTTGCTTGGCCAACTCCTGAATGGAATAGGCCTGATGGTGTTCACTAGTCCCTTTATCCGCAAAAATCAGGCGTCCTTCTGATGTGCCTGGAAGT